TCCGTAGGATCAAGTGGTTGATCCACATGAAACTCCAAGTCTAGATCCATGTGCCCTAGTGAGAAAATGGTTTTGTCTTTCCAATCATCAAAGTTATCACCATAAAGTATTAGAACAACATAAGCAGTAGGAATAGCTGTAATAATCAATGAATTTAAACTTTAGTGCTATGAATAAAACTTGAGTTCTAAACAACTAATGTCAGTTTAGAATAGATTTAAATAAATTCAAACATTCCTATTGGCAGAGGTAGCATCACACATGAATTTATTCTTTCTTCATTAGTAAAAATAATAAAAATTAATATCAATAAATAAATTATTTTATACCTAGGTCCTAGGAAAATTTATTTTTGATATTGCTCTTTAATATCTTATTCCAATTAACCCAAAACAATAATAACATCCCTATGGGGCCGAGTTACTATTTCTTTAAATTAATCAGAACTTAGATGTCATTAAAACTTAATGAAGTGTTTTAATTCTTATCTGACTATCCTCATGACCTAAGACTACTCTTAAGTCATTGGGTAATCCTTATTACTTCAAGACATCATAAACCAAACTTCAAGTTCATATTTTATTACATACAAGAGGATAACTTTAACAAGTAAACATGTCTCATAAACTTTGATTCAAAAATATTTACAAACTTGAAGATTTAACTTTAGGTATTTTCAATTCTAGGACCTTAGTGAACTGAAATATTTGTCTTTTACTATAATAACATAAACCGCAAACCAAAGAGTTTGCATATGGAGAAATTAACTTTGGATTAAGAACATGACAAACCATGCCTGCTACAGATGTATCGAAAACATGATGGTCACAAACTGAAGTAGAAACGGATCTATTGATGTTAGTTATTGAACGGGGGTTTATTTAAGGAATAGTGTTAGATTGGGGTCCTCAAGCTTCTTCAGATGGCTGATTCGGGACCCTGCCGTTCTTTCCTACACACGAAGAACTCGTAAGATGTCGGAGTTGGGTTCTCCAGTTATTCCTTCGATGATCAAGTCAGCATATGAACTTGAGTTGGAAAATGTGAGATAATGGAGGAGATTTCAAAGTTGTGTAAAAAGCCAGAGAACTACCTTGAGCTGCATGGCTTCCTTTTATAGTGGATTAGAATGACAGATAGGTAACTTAAGCCGAGTCCAGACAGGCAGCTGACTCGACAGACATGTGACAAGTGTCGACCGCCAGTGAAGATAAGTCATCCAGCTGTTTATTGTGGGGAAGGCAGTTGGTGGTTTGAGCTGGCTGGATCGATGAGTCATAAAGACTATATATAGAGTGTAGTTGGTTGTTGGCAGGAGGTTCTAGTCAGCTATGCAAGTTGTCGATCTAAAACAATAGGTCGAGAGCGAGTATTTATAAGATCGATCAGGTGTGTAGGCCGACAATTACCGTATTTTTGATCGGCTATACAAGTTGTTGACCTATTGAGTCAGCTAAGGGAGCAGCACGAGTTGTCTGGGCTCTGAACACGTCTGATTAAGCACAGTGAGCGGGACACGCGTCAGCTTCTTCGAAAGATTCACATTTGGTTTAATTAGTGTCATAACAAGATATAACAGTACACTTTAATGTGCAAAACATACAGACAAAAAAGGGAAAAATGTGTCGGGGCCCCAAAAGCTGAAAAATCATGTGACGAGGCCCCTTGTATTTTCCCCCGTGTGTATAAGCCCCAAAAAGTAGCCTTTAATATTTCTAGGGCCCTTCACGTCAGCTGTATACAAAAGAGGCATTGTATTTTGAAAAAAACCCGAGTTTGCCCTTCTCCTTCGTCCCCAGACGCTTCGTCACATCTCATTAAATGGACTGGACTCGATTACTGCGCCTCTATTTCAAGAACCCCACCTCTATTTCTCTCTCTTCCAAAATACAAAAGAGCCACCGAAACTCTCGAACTTCCATTTCCAGTGACGGAGTTTATTTACAGGGCTAGGTTTTTCGCCGAAAAATATCGTCCAGGGAAGCAGAATCGGTAAATGACTACGACATCTCTCATCGCAGTGATTTGAAGGAAAAAGACGGTTCGTCTGGGGTTGGCAGCGCAGAGGAAGCCACTCAAACCCTCATGGTAATGCAAAAGCAGGCCCTAGAATGGCGAAACCGCCAAAGAAGAACGGCAAGGGCTGGCCGTGCCATCGTGCCCCCCCAGAAAAACAATAAGTGCTAGGTTATCCACTATTTGGGGTTTCGAAGTAATGTGCCCTAATGTTAGTACTAGGCAATGTTAGTTCTAGTTTGAGTCCATGTTAGTTCTATAACAGTCGGCGTTAGTTCTATTAGATGCCGTTTAGTGTTAGGTCTAATTCAGTTTACGTTAGTTCTAATTGAACTTGAAATTTTTATTTTTACAGGAAAAGGCTTGCTGAAAATAACGCGTTTGAATCATTAAGGCTAACCGTCAATATCATGGGTTATTGGCAATTCATGAAGTGTATTGCTCCGAAGATGCGTCAGTGTCACAGGGATGCATATCGCGGATCGATATTTCAGCACTACATTTTATTCCGGACTCTTGCGCCTAATCGCCCCACACTTGAACTGCTGCTGAGTTATTATGATAGGGCCAATGACACATTTTCTATCCCTGATTCAAAGACTGGGGGCTTGAAAAGTGTTAAATTTGATTTGCAATGGGTCTATAACCATACATACTTCCCAGCTTATGGGAAAGTCATACATATCAACCGGGACTCAACAAACAGAATCTGGTTGCAATACTTCGCTCATCTTTTCAAAACTGAAGATGGGAAGAAGTTAAAAAAAGCAACAATCACCCATCGAAGATACCTTGAAGGGCAGCTGGAAAGGCTCGTGGAGTCTACAAAAGAAGAGGATATCCAAGATTTTGTTCTGTTGCAAATTCTGTACCAATGCTCTATGATATGGTGCCACAAAAGCGGGGAGGGTATCCCTAGACCTCTACTCAGATATCTGGATAGCATTGAGAGGATCAAAACGGTAGCTTGGGCTGAATTCTTTTATTCAGAAATTACCAGGGGGATTAAAGTTGTTGTGGAGTGCAAGAAGAAGCAAGGGGTCACATATGTCCCAGGTTGCATGACACTATTGTGTGTAAGTGCCATGTTTTACTCAATTTGGTTCATTCTAGCTCTGATTCATGCCATGTGAGTTCTAACTTATGCCACGTTAGTTCTGATTTCTGCTATGTTAGTTCTACTTTTCACCACGTTAGTTCTAGTTTTTGCTCATGTTAGTTCTAGCCGTATTCATGTTAGTCCTTATTTGGGTCATGCTGATAAGCCTTAAATGGCATCATGTTAGTTTAGAATTGGGTCACGTTAGTTCTAATAAAGTTCGGTTAGTTCTATTACATCTCACCTTAGTTCTAATAGGAGGCATGCTAGTTCTAGGTTCTAGTTGGGGTCACAATAGTTCTAACGGAGTATCTGTTTGTTAGCTCTAATTTATGCCTTGTTAGTTCTGATTTGAATACTTAATGTATTTGCTTTAGCTTTGGTACTATGAGATGACGGGGTTAAAGAAATATGCCTACGTCGACAAGTCCAGACCTCCAATGACAAACTGGGCATCAGAAAAGGAGGTGAAAGTCTCATATTTGAGGGCGAGGACCGTTGCATTGAAGGCTAAATCATGCTAAGTTGTTAATTCTATGTTCTACGTTAGTTCTAGCTTCTATCATACTAGTTCTAGCTTGTATACAGCCAGTTCTAGCCCACATCTTGCCAGTTCTAAACCCAGCCCGTGTTTTTTCATGCTAAGTTGTTAATTCTAGGTTCTACGTTAGTTCTAGCTTCTATCACACTAGTTCTAACTTGTATACAGCCAGTTCTAGCCCACATCTTGCTAGTTCTAAACTCAGCCCATGTTTTTTTCATGCTAAGTTGTTAATTCTAGGTTTTACGTTAGTTCTAGCTTCTATCACACTAGTTCTAGCTTGTATACAGTCAGTTCTAGCCCACAACTTGCTAGTTCTAAACCCAGCCCGTGTTTTTTTCATGCTAAGTTGTTAATTCTAGCTTCTATTTCCCTAGTTCTAGCTTGTATACAGCCAGTTCTAGCCCACACCTTGCTAGTTCTAAACATAGCCGTCTTATTTTTCCCGCACACTTTTTATTCTTTCTTCTACCTTAGTTCTAGCTTTTATTACCCTAGTTCTAGCTTGTATACAGCCAGTTCTAGCCTACACCGTGCTAGTTCTAAAACCAGCCTTCGTATTTTACCTGCGCAGTTTTTATTTTTGCTGTCGTGTTATTTCTAGCTTAGTTAATGTTGGTTCTAGCTGCTGGGGTTTTAGTTCTAGATGTTGTCGTGTCTGTTCTATCTTAGCCATTGTCAGATCTATTTGTTCTCGTGTAGTTCTAATACTTACAACATTTTTGCTAGTGGAGATGATGTTAGTTCTCATCACACATGAGAATATTTTCAACATTAAACAAAACGTACTAGTTTGTAAATATACAAGCAAAACAGTTAACAACATATCAAGTCTTAGTCAGCAATAGATTCATTACATCTTTTACGGTTGTGACCTTCCACATGACATCGAGAGAATTTAAGTGGACGGGTGTAAACTGTTCTGTTGTTGATACGCCTGGTCTTATTTCTCCCTTTTCTTTTTGTTGTTAATGGTGGTAGGATCTGTATCTCCTCCCGTGGTACGCTACGCTTCTCGTAATCAGGGATGAGATAGATAATTGGCTCGTAGCTCTTTTTAAAAGCTTCAACCGTCATAAACCAGTCACAGAATTGGTAAACATCCCTCTTCATAAACATAATGGTTGCACATGCATGTTTGCAAGGGATACGTGTTACATCCCACGCGCGGCACGTGCATGTTTTATTGTCAAGATCCACTTTACAAGTTTTATGAGATTGTACCTCAAATAATCCTGTATGAGACTGACGCACATCCAATGGACGCCCATTTTCCATGTTCTCTTTGAGGACAAGTTCAGCTTTGGGACAAAAAAATCCATTCCAACTTTCAGCCATTAATCATCACTCATTCATGCGAATCATAATCTGTTTACGTATGTGTTCTACGAGTTGTAGTATCCGTAGAAGCCTAGCCTCATGTATCCATTTGTCGAATGACTCTGCAACATTTGATGTAACGTGACCATATCTAGAACATAACAGGGAATTCATCAAAAATACCGAGTTATTTGTCATGTCAGTTCTAGCTGAGTAGTTCTTAGTGAAAGCTTCTATCGTGATAGTTCTAGATGGTACCCAGTTAGTTCTAACTCCAGCTAACTGGGTTATTACCCATGTTCTATTACAAGTGTTGGGTATATAGCCTATGTTAGTTCCGACAAGGTTATAGTTAGTTCCAATGTATCCATTCATGTCTAATTTAGTTAGGGTAACAACTAACTGAAATAAGAAATGACATAGCTTATAAATTACCTAATTCCGGGGAAAAATGCGTTAGCCCAGTTCTCTGGAGCGTAGTTCATGACAATATTGTTGGCTCGTTCGTCCGCCAGTCTAATGTCCTCCACATAGTCATTCCATGCTGCTTTAGTATATTTGTAACAAGCAGATTGCAAAAGGTTGCCCAAAATCCGAGTATCCTTTGCCTTAAAACCCAAATCCCGCAACTTTGTCCTAAAATTCTCAACTAGATGCAGAACACATCTAGAGTGTATAGCATCCAGAAAATATTCTCTGACTGCTTCTCTGATCCCCTTATCCGCATCAAATATTATAACTAGCTTGTGTGGAGGGTTGTATGGATCTGGCCTTTCATAGAGAATAGACCATAAACCTATAAATATTTATAGTTAACATATTTGAAGTTAGAGTTAACAACGAATGAGTTAGAACTAGCATGAATTCTAGTAGAACTAACATGACCCGAACTAACTTTGTAAGAACCAATTCCAGTTGACAGTATTTTCCTGATCGCAAATGCAATAGGCTAATGGAAATATCCCCTGATTTCCATCGTATGCAACGGCGCTGAGGAGTATACCTTTGAAACGATCTTTCAGAAAGGTACCATCCAAAAATATAAGTGGTCTACAACCGTTCAAAAACTCATTTATGCAGGCGGCATAACAGATGACTACAACCGTTCAAAAACTCATTTATGCAGGCGGCATAACAGATGAATAGCTTTGAAAACCTCCCCTCAATTTGTTCAACATGAATGTAGCTATCTGGGTTTGTCTTCTTAACCTCTTCTACATACCTAGACCATTGAAGATTATATGTTAGGATCAACATAAATAAAATTAGTGTCTATATTATAGATATTATCTTCTTTTACCATCGTAATTGATCGTAGGACTCATGGGCATCACCATATAGTTGCTCTTGTGCTCTTTCTTTACCCCACCATATCTTGCTATAATCGACCCTAAGCCCATACGAAGTTAGTAACTCCTTTTGTACGTCGATAGGTCGTAAATCTGGTCGGACCTTTAACGTGGGTAATACTTGGGTCGCAATGAATTGTCGTGACGTCCTAGATTGACCTGCATTATTGCCAAAATTCCCACAAGTGTGGTTGTCCACGAAGGTTTTGATTTCAAGTCTGTTCTCATTTTGTGTTGGAGAGGCAAATAACATCCACGAGCAATTTTGGGCTTCCTTGAACCGACAAAAGACTCGATTACGCTTCGGTTCATTCTTAGCAAACAAGTACTCGAATTTTTTGGCCATGGAATAGTATAGTAAAGCCAATCTTAATTCCTTCGTACTCTCAAACCGTTGTCCCTCACCGGTTAAAGCAGTGTGCCACCAAGCAGGAATCCTCTCTGATCTGCTAATCATGTCATCAATCATCGGAACATTATCTCCAGAAGGATTATCATTGGGGATCCTATTTGAAACACATGTGGGCGTCGACAACGGCGGGCCACCCTCTATGCTTTTTGAGTTCATACTGTTGGTAGCGCTACTAATTTAAAGAACATGAACAAATGATCATAAACTATACAATAGAAACATCAACAAATAACACAAATAAGGAAAAGGTAAAAAAACATCAACTGCTTGTGTTATAACTGTCATGGAATCCAATTGAACTAACAAGATTTCATTTAGAACTAACATGAAAATGTTTAGACCAAACATGAAGTCACTTAGAACTAACATGTTGGACCTAACACAGTTTGAACTAGATCTAATAGCAAATCGATTAGAACTAACAATAAGTCTATTGGAACTAACAACTAATAGATTATACTTAACAATAAATCTATTAGAACCGACATGTTTAATACATTCACGTAGGACAAGAACTAGCATGAACCTCCTTCATACGATTACAGCTGTAACTAGAATTCACAGCTTATAGAACTGTCATGAAATCGATTAGAGATAACATACACGCAAATCCGAGCTATAATCCAATGAACTAACATTAACTGATATTACATGAATATTGGTCTTAGCATCAAAAAAATCCTTGCCCCTACATGTCTTGTCGAACTTGAACGGCGCTGTGGACTTTGAAGAATCCTCTTTTTCCTTGAAAGCTTGCATGTGAACCTCCTTTAATCCTCTGTTATGGCAATGCTCCACCAAAGACGACAGATCCCCCTCGTTCTCAATAGGAAATTTGAAGCTTCCATTCGTTTCATCTTTGAATGACAAACTTAATGATTCATATGGAAGATCTAACCTATCTGACACATCAAATTTTAGATCAAGAATGGTGGTTGAAATGTTAATCTTCATGAATACTGCTCTATCACCCGAAGCTACGATGCAAGTGCTGTCCTTTTCAGCCATTATGAAGTGGAGGGAAGAGTAATGGAGAGAATTTTGGTCTGAGGAAGAGTAATGAAGAGAATTTTGGTCTGAGGAAGAGTAATGGAAGAGTAATGGAGAACTAGATATTTATTGCTCATGATAGAAGGAAAAAGGGGGGGAAATTTCCCTCCATTTCTTACAGTAGTTTGCATTTAATGGGATGTGACGAAGAGTGGTAACGAAGCGTCTGGGGAAGAAGGAGAAGGGCAAACTCGGGTTTTTTTCAAAATACAATGCCTCTTTTGTATACAGCTGACGTGGAGGGCCCTAGAAATATTAAAGGATGCTTTTTAGGGCTTATACACACTGGGGGAAATACAAAGGGCCTCGTCACATGATTTTTTAGTTTTTGGGACCCCGACACATTTTTCCCAACAAAAAAATTACCTTAACAATGACCAAAATAAGCAACCAATCTAATCTGACACTATCACATGGTAAAAAAAAAAAATTCTTTTTTATACTTCATAAGATCCGCATGATAGTGTTCACCGTGAAGCAACAGATACATGACTGTTATAAACTTAAGAAAAATGCCCCAGGGACCCAAAAAAAAGGGACCCCTATGGGACAGGTGAGGTGTCAGTTCCTGGGGGCGCGATGGCTAGTTTCAAAATTAATCATTGCCCTTAATCGGTTTTATTTATTTCGATTGCTACACTGCTGCACCGATTGTAGAGGCTAGATCAGATAATTTTACTTTGGTCGTGGAAAGAACAAGCAGTAATATGATTCAAAATCTTTATTAAAAAAATACTAAAGAACACAGATAGAGTTGACTCTGATACCACATATAAGAAATTGTAATCTAAATAAATACAGAGTAGGCAACGAAAATAAATTAAATTAAGAGATAGCTCTAGCCAGTGCTGTCTTGATAGATCTGTAACTCAGAAAATTAGATCGAAACTAGAGATAATTTGAGTATATACATAAACAAAGAATAAGAGTTAGATCACCATTAGAATAAATAAAATAAAGAAAATAAAAAGAGTTTCTAGCCTATGCCTTATTAAAAAACCTAAATTTGATGGAGGAGCTATGGTTGTATTCATAGACTAGGCTAGGACCCTTCTGTTATAATTAGAATTCTTAAAAAATAGGGAAAACTGCTTCCAGCCCCCAAAATCCAAGAAAACGTGCTCCCCTCAAGACTTTGTCAACGGAAGCTTTGCCCCTAAAAATAAAGATTTTGTTCTCTGAGCCCCCAAAACACAAAACCCAAGAGATTAAAATATGTAAAGACCATAATACTCTTCTCTCTCTCTCTATCATGATGTTACTGATAATTGAAATGATTGATAGACATTGTTATTTTATTATTTTCGTTGTTGATGAGAGGAACTAATTGTTTTGTTTGTATTGGGAGATTGTTAAGGTTACAAGTTTAATTGTTAATGTTACGAGTTTAATTGTTAAGGTTATGGAACCCTTCTCTCTCTCTCTCTCTCTCTCTCTCTCTCAACCTTAACAATTAAACCCGTAACCTTAACAATTAAATAGAGAGAAAGAAAGAGAGAGAGAGAGAAGGGATCCATAACCTTAATAATTGACCCGTAACCTTACAATTAAACTTGTAACCTTAATAATTAAACCCGTAACCTTAACAATTAAACCTGTAACCTTAACAATTGACCCGTAACCTTAACAATTAAACTCGTAACCTTAACAATTAGAGAGAGAGAGAGAGAGAGAGAGAGAGAGAGAGAGAAGGAATCCATAACCTTAACAATCAACCCGTAACCTTAACAATCAACCCGTAACCTTAACAATTAAACCTGTAACATTAACAATTAAACACGTAACTTTAACAATTAAACCCGTAACATTAACAATTAAACCTGTAACATTAACAATTAAACCTGTAACCTTAACAATTAAAGACAGAGAGAGAGAGAGAGAGAGAGAGAGAGAGAGAGAGAGAGAGAGAGAGAGAGAGAGAAGTGATTCATAACCTTAATAATTGACCCATAACCTTAACAATTAAACCCGTAACCTTAATAATTAAACCCGTAACCTTAACAATTAAACATGTAATCTTAGCAATTAAACCCGTAACCTTAGCAACTAAACCCGTAAACTTAGCAATTAAACTCGTAACCTTAACAATTGACCCATAACCTTAACAATTGACCCGTAACATTAACAATTAAACCCGTAACGTTAACAATTAAACCCGTAACCTTAACAATTAAGCCCTAATCTTAACAATTAAACTCGTAACCTTAATAATTGACCCGTAACCTTAACAATTAAACCCGTAACCTTAACAATTGATCCGTAACATTAACAATTAAACTCGTAACCTTAACAATTAGAGAGAGAGAGAGAGAGAGAGAGAGAGAAGGGATCCATAACCTTAACAGTTGACTCGTAACCTTAATAATTAAACCCGTAACCTTAACAATTAAATCCGTAACCTTAACAATATCCCAATACAAACAAAAATAATTAGTTTCCTCATCAACAACGAAAATAATAAAAAACACAAATAATAAAATAACAGTTCCCATCAATCATTTCAACTATCACTAACATCATGATAAAGAGAGAGAGAGAGAGAGAGAGAGAGAGAGAGAGAGAGAGAAGTGATCCATAACATTAACAATTGACCCGTAACCTTAACAATTAAACCCGTAACCTTAGCAATTAAACCCGTAACCTTAGCAATTAAACACGTAACCTTAGCAATTGACCAGTAACCTTAGCAATTAAATCTGTAACCTTAACAATTAAACCCGTAACTTTAACAATTAAACCCGTAACCTTAACAATTGACCCATAACCTTAACAATTAAACCCGTAACCTTAACAATTAAAGAGAGAGAGAGAGAGAGAGAGAGAGAGAGAGAGAGGAGAGAGAGAGAGAGAGAGAGAGAGAGAGAGAGAGAAGGGATCCATAACATTAACAATTGATTCATAACCTTAACAATTAAACTCATAGCCTTAACAATTAAACCCGTAAGCTTAACAATATCCTAATACAAACAAGAACAATTAGTTTCCCCATCAACAACGAAAATAATAAAAAACAAAAATAATAAAATAACAATTTCCATCAATCACTTCAATTATCAGTAACATCATGATAAAGAGAGAGAGAGAGAGAGAGAGAGATCCATAACCTTAACAATTGACCTGTAACCTTAACAATTAAACCCGTAACCTTAACAATTGACTCGTAACCTTAAAATTAAACTCGTAATCTTAATAATTAATTCGTAACCTTAGCAATTAAACCCGTAACCTTAAAATTAAATTTGTAACCTTAACAATTGACCCGTAACCTTTACAATTAAACCCGTAACCTTAACAATTAAACTCATAACCTTAAAAATTAAACCCGTAACCTTAACAATTAAAGAGAGAGAGAGAGAGAGAGAGAGAGAGAGAGAGAGAGAGAGAGAGAATGGATTCATAACCTTAACAATTGACCCGTAACCTTAACAATTAAACCCGTAACCTTAACAATTAAACACGTAACCTTAACAATTAACCCGTAACCTTAACAATTAAACCTGTAACCTTAACAATTGACCCGTAATCTTAACAATTAAACCCGTAACCTTAACAATTAAAGAGAGAGAGAGAGAGAGAGAGAGAGAGAGAGAGAGAGAGAGAGAATGGATTCATAACCTTAACAATTGACCCGTAACCTTAACAATTAAACCCGTAACCTTAACAATTGACCCGTAACCTTAACAATTAAACCCGTAACCTTAACAATTGATCTGTAACCTTAACAATTAAACCCGTAATCTTAACAATTAGAGAGAGAGAGAGAGAGAGAGAGAGAGAGAGAGAGAGAGAGAGAGATTAACAGAGAGAGAGAGAGAGAGAGAAAGAGAGAGAGAGAGAGAGAGAGAGAGAAGGGATCCATAACCTTAACAATTGACCTGTAACCTTAATAATTAAACCCGTAACCTTAACAATATCCTAATACAAACAAAAACAATTAGTTTCCCCATCAACAATAAAAATAATAAAAAATAAAAATAATAAAATAACAACCCCCATCAATCATTTCAACTATTAGTAACATCATGAGAAAGAGAGAGAGAGGGGCTCATAACCTTAACAATTGACCCGTAACCTTAACAATTAAACACGTAACCTTAACAACTAAACCTGTAAGCTTAACAATCTCCCAATACAAACAAAACAGTTAGTTCCTCTCATCAACAACGAAAATAATAAAAAGAAAGAAATAATAAAATAACAATGCCCATCAATCATTTCAACTATCAGTAACATCATCATAGAGAGAGAGAGAGAGAGAGAAAGAGAGAGAGAGAAGGGTATTATGATCTTCACATATTTTATTCTCTTGAGTTTTGTGTTTTGGGGGCTCAAAGAACAAAATCTTTATTTTTGGGGACAAAACATCCGTTGACAAAGTCTTGGAAGGGGGGAAGCACTTTTTCTTGGGTTTTGGGGTCTGGAAGCGTTTTTCCCTAAAAAATAAGACTTCTTAAAATATCCATTACGAAAACTATCTAGATATGATCTTATCTAAATCCACTATAACTCTTTATAGGATAATAATTTAAATATCATAACAAATTAAGATAAGTTGTATCGAGTGGGTTAACCGCTCATGCTATGGCTAGACTTGCTCTATCTGTTGATGGTTGTAGAGTTTGGATGGAGGAGGTGCCGAGTTCAGTATACCCTCTTACCCAAGCTGGCATGTCTCCTTCCTAAGATATAAAAAAAAACAGCCCTTCCCATTCATTTAAACAGACATCACGTCAATCATGTTATTTATCTTCCTTATAAATATACGTCTTGTATCCACAAATATCTTTGTAGCCATTAACATTTTCCTGTTATCCAATTCATGTCCATATTCAGAGTTTTACAAATATGAATTATGAGTTGTTCTTACAAACCGATGCCAACATGCAAATCCATAACCATGAATATTTTCATGTTATCCAATCTATGTTCATATTCGGAGTTTAACGGATATGGATTGTGAGTTGTTCTTACTGAACAACGTCAATATTATCCAATAATCATATCCGTAACCATGATCATGTGAACGTACACATATGCTAAGTACCATATTGAATCCATGTCCGATCCATTTGCACCCATGAGCACCATCCAATAACTTAATTATAATATAAAGGGGACAAATAAAGCTAACTTGTCTTATTAAAAAAAAATCAGGAACAAAGACAGTATGGATATCACCAAAAAATAAACATAAATCATGGAAGGCAATCATGGTTTTCTAAGGATCCATATTAAAGGGACCTCTTTACTTTCTACAGCAGATCACATAACTCAGTTTTATTTGGATATAGGAAATTAGCAATATTTATATTGATGTGTACGCAAACACGTGACTCTATGCATGAAATAGACACAACAGTGTCTGAATAATTTTTGAGCGCCCAAGCCTCCAACATATCAGGAAATCAAAACAATGTGTGAAATATAATAGGGTTCCCTAATACGCCACCATCCTCTAAGAAGTTTCAATGATAATTAATTTAACATCGTGCTACCCTAAGAAAGAAGGGAAGGAAAAAAAAAAGATAATGTTAACAGTCTTTCCTACTTATTTACTTGGTTTCCTACATTTAGTTTAGTATCACACTGATTAGTCAAATTATTTTGTAATCCTAATACTATTAATAAGACCTGAGAGGAGAGGGACAAATCATCCTCTCTAACTACCCTTTGGTTACATGGTATTAGAGCCATTAATCCCCATCACCCATTCATATCCCTAATTCTAATCCATCCCTCCACCTCATCTTCTCCCTTTAGCCTCTCTTCCAGAAAAGGGGGAAAAGGAAACACCCTAACCCTAAACTCGCCGCTGCCCACATCTCGCGTCACCTAACCACCACCCTCTCTAAATCCCACCTAGAGTTGACAATGACCCGCCGTCACGATGACCATCTCAGCCCTCTCCCACAACCGCGACCCAACCCAGTCGCCAATCCCACGACTCCTTATGACCACCACAGCTCCCACGACTCCTGACAAGATCCTTGCAGCTGCTGCTCCCACGACTCCTGGCGCGATCCTTGTAGCTGCTGCTCCACAGGACCCTATGTTAAACTAGGAAAAAAAAATAACAAAAAACAAACCCTAGCCCCCATGGAAAAAACACCTTATTCTACCTTCATGAACCACAAGACACCAAGCTGGGGCAACACCTTACTCTACCTGTTGCATCCTGCTTACACTTGAACTATTTGAAGATACAAGGAAAAAAAATATAGATCCTGCAACTTTCCTTGCGCCTAGGACCAAAAGTAGAAACAAAGTCCCTCCAATGACCCAAATCATTTGTTTTGGGTTGGAATTCCACCCATTTAGAAGTATGAGGTACCACCTAGCACCTCTCCTGATATTTTCATTGGAGAAGTATGAGGTACCATTTTTTGTGTATCTTATCTCCATCTTATCCCTTCATCAGATTCTTCACCTTCTCAAAATATTGTTTAACTTGCGAAACATTTCTCCTATGTAAGTAACCATTCATACTATGACTTGCTCAACGCGCAACATTTCTCCTATGTAAGTAACCATTCATACTATGACTTGCTCAACGTTTCTGGGTCACTTTCCCTATACCTATATAATCAAACTCCATTGCATGCTTATAACCTTGATTCATAAGGCTGCAAACTGTCTAGTCTATATATCAACTGAGTGGTCAGCGACATAAAGCAAGTCGTATTATAAGCAATTTCCAACAAAGATACAATGCAAAGTATCTAGTCTTGAATCTCGATATCCTGTTGCAGTTTTGGGTCATCCTATTTTGGCATTGGTATTGAGAACTTGGTGGTTCTGGTAGTCACTGGATCCAGAAATAATTTACACAATTGTAAAGCATTTGCAAATTACAAAAATAGTAACGATAGGAAACATTTCTCAAGCATTTTTGAACAATTGATGCAGATATTAAGGCCCGATTAAAGCTTTCATAATCCAACAGTCGGGGACCTAATAATTGATGAATCACAAGTTTCTAAATTGATACAACATATAAAATTAATAATCTTATTTACCAAATTTTGAGAAATCAAATCCTAAATTACTTATTTTTTAACTGCTGAACTTGCTTAGAATGTCATAATAAAATCACGGGAGCCAAGCCTTTGTAAAAGATTGGGTCTAATGTAGCCGTTCACCGTTCAGTTGGAAACAATTTAACCTATATAAGAAAAGGATTTATTGAGACAAAGAACTTAGTTTACTATGGTTTCATCTCCATACTTGTGTAGCCAAATAAATAAAGAAATGAATGAACCTACCACACACTTTAGTATTAAATAAAGATATGAATGAACCTACCACACACTCGAGTGTTAAGTCTTTCTAGTTGATTAAACTTTTGTTGTGGCTCTCAGATAATGGTTTTCAGCTTTGATAGCTGAAGGTATTGATTTTGAAATATCACTTAAAAGGTGAACTTTTGATTGTTATATTCTCGGTCGGAGTTTAGGCTTTATTTTGGTTAATTACTTATTATTTTCCTCCAATAAAACACCATCAACTTTCCACTTCAACCTCAAACCTCCACCTCTGTTATTTGCTATTAGTCTATAACCATGGAAGTTGCCAGTTGTTATGGATTGGATAAAGACGCTCAAAATCCAATGTACTCCAAAGCATGATATTAAGACTTCTCTAGTTGATTATATTTTATAATGGGTCTATAGAATATTGGTTTCAGCTTTGACAACTGAAGTTATCGATTTACAAATTTCAGTTGTTAAGAAACATCCTTTTGATCGTTGTATACTAGGTCAGAGTTTACGCTTTATATTGATTAATTTATACTTTAATTCCTCAATATAACACCATCAACTTTTCACTTTCAACCTGGAAACCTTAAATATTTTCCTCTATTAGTTGTTATTGGCTTATATCCGAGGTATTGGCCGTTCTTAAATCTTAATAGATTGAAGAACACATGCGCAAAATCCAATTTACTCCAATGTGCAAGCCATAACATCTTATACGTTTGTGAATCTATCCACCACCATTTTCTTTCTTATGAAATGAGGTGTCATACCAAAATCCCTACCTAGTTAGAAGCAATAAATAGAAGCTGCTAGTGTTTTAAATTTTCACGATTACACAGAAGTGCATTCAGCAACCACCACAAAGCCTTTATCCAGAGTGCATTCAATTCATTTCAAATGAAACATTCAACTAGTGAGCATATAAAACATGTAGAATCTTAATAACCAGTATGCGTGTCCTAATCACATCACAGGTTAATGAGTCAACAAGTACAATTTAGAAAAGCAGTTTGAGAATATAAATCAATATACGTAGTTAGTAGTTAATATTCAGTATTCTAATCAACTTTCCAATATTACATTGTAAGCCTTCATAAGTCAGAAATTTCAATTCCAAATACTTTTCAACGGTTTTCCAATGTAAGTGCAGGGACACAAATATCACATGCCATTAATCAAAATGCATAAAAGCAAACACATATAGGTAAAATGATACACAATGAATCACCTCCATTAGTTCCTTCCAAGTGGGAGTGACCGGCACATATAAGTCTCCTTAATCTCCCCCTTATTTGATGATGTGAAGATCGACGCATAGACCTCCTTTGTCGCATGTGCCGGAGCCACATCAACTGCCCTAAACCTCTTCCCACCTCCTTCCTTCTTCCCATTCTCCAAATTCCCAACCTTCTCCTCACCCGGATGCTTCCTCGCCTTCTCCTTCTTCTTCTCCTTCACCTGTCCCCTCTCCTCCTCCATCCTCTCCCTCAAAACCCTAACCTCCTCCTCGCTCCCATTAATCACAATCCTATCCCTCTCCTCAAACCCTTCATGACAAACCAAACAACCGTCACTCTTCACCTCCTTCAATGCCTTCACACTCAAAACATGTCCGCATTTCCTTATCGCGATAAACCCGTACTTCCCGTTAAACTCCAACCCTGTTACCGGGCACTCCAAATTCGGTATCTTCACCTCAATCATATCTTTCAACCCCCGAATGTGCCCAAACTCCTTGGGCAGCTTCTTATGAATCAAAGCTTGCACTAAAGCCTCCTTATTAAACAAATTCCCCAATTTATCAATTACGATCGGGTGAGCTAAGGGTTCAAAGGAGAGAGAGCAATTGGTCCATTTCGAGAGCCGGCTTTCATTGGGGTCTACTTTGTCGGGTTTCTTGGTGGAGTACATGTGGAGGTAGCAGTCGCGGGACTCGGCGCAGGTGGATCCGCCGT